CGGCTCCCTCTGCCTGCCCCGTGTGGCCCTTCCCGGCGCGCTGCCTTGCACTGGTGCTACTGGCCACCCACAAGCCCCGTCCTGGAGTGGCCCACAGCCTGTGGCACCTCCCCGCGGCTGCATCCCGCCTACCCCATAGAATGTCTCTGGGGCCTGGCACCCGCTCCGGGCCTGCCTGGCCAATGTTCCCTCCCCTGCGGGGACTGGAATCAACAGCAGATCCAGCCCCTCGTTGTACCAGGTGCAGGAGCCCCACAGGCTTCCAGCGGGCCAGGGGGAGGCGGAGTCTGTTCAGCCCCAACGCGAGGCCGAGGGGTCAGTGGAATGGGAGGGAGCCGACTCATTGGGGTGTCCCTGAGTAACTGGCCTCATTGTCCCCATGAGGTGTGGGCAGCCCAGGCACGGGGCCCTGCACGCTGGGTGTTTGGCTAGGATGGAGGGGAAGGGCGATCGACAGACGCAGGGAGGGGGATGGAGAGTCAGGCCCCTGCACACGGACACAGAGACTTTAAGGCCAGAAGGAACCATCATGATCAGCTGCGGGGGCCTCCTGCCCATCACAGGCCTAAAGCCTCCTCTGCCCACTCCTGGGACAGACCCTCACCTCTGGCTGAGTCACCGAGGGATAAAGAGACGGATGGTACCGGGATACGGAGACTTTTCTTTTCCTCGCTGCACTAAGGTTTTATTGCCTGTAATTTGCTCCTGGCACAGATGGCAGCTGTTGTTCTCAATGGTAAAACCCAGGTTTTTAAATGTGTGTTTACGGAAGCTGATAAGCTTATTTGCATTAGGAAAATACAGGAAGATCTCGGAGTCGAACCAGGATGGGTTGAGACCTGATCCTCGAGTCTGAACTAGGGATGTTAAATATCGATTAATTGAATACTTGAATAACCGCATGAATTCTTATCGGTACTCCACTGTTCTATAGTACCCGGGGGCGGGGCCAGCAACCAGTGCGCTCCGGCCTCACTCCATGCTACTGTCTCTGTACCAAAGGCAGCAGCGTGGGGTGCCAGGTAGGAGCTGGTCCACGAGGGGAGACATTTTAAAAACTAATTCCCCTCACAGACTGGCTGCCTTTCGCCTGGCATTGCTGCCTCCGATACAGAGGCAGGGAGGTTGGG